CCCCGACCCCTCACCCTTTTTGAACTCCTCCAGCATGGCGTCCAGCTTGGTGTCGTGGAAGACGACGTGGACGGGGTGGTTGTAGAATTTGGTGATGGTTTTGAGGGGGGTGCAGTCGTCGGGGTCGACGAAAGCCAGGTCCTTGACGTAGAGGATGTCCATGATGTTGGAACGCTCGTCCTCGTAGACGGGGATGCGGGTGTAGCCACTCTCCATGATCTCCGACATGGTGTTGAAGTCCAGGATGGCGTCGCTGTTGATCATGAAGCAGTTCTGCAGCGGGGTCATCACGTCCTCCACCGTCTTGGTACGGAGCTCCAGGGCTCCCTGGATCATGTTGAGCTCCTCCCTCACCAGGTCGTTGTAGGGTTCCGTCACCTTCAACATCTCCACCAGCTTCTCCCGGTTGTAGACGGTGCCGATCTCCTGGCCCAGGATGCAGTCGAGGAGCTTGCTGACGGGGTAGGAGAGGGGGAACGTCACCAGCATGAAGAACTTGGTGACCACGATGGTGTTGGCGCCCACGGCCAAGCCGTGGCGGGAGCAGAGCGCCTGGGGCACGATCTCCCCGAAGATGACGATGCCGATGGTGGAAGCGACGACGGCGCCGATGCCGGAGCCGATGAGGTCATCGAGGAGGATGGTGAGGGTGGTGTTAACCAGCACGTTACCCAGCAGCAGGGAACAGAGCAAATAGTTCCCCTTACGGCGGATGGGTTCGATCTTACGGGCGTAACGCTTCTCCTTATCGGTGCCGCAGTTCTGCACGATGCGCAGCTCCATGGGATCCAGTGCCATGAGGCCCAGGTTGAGCCCGCTGAACATCCCCGACAGCACCAGCAGCGCGGCGATGAGGATCACCTGCAACCAAAGGGGCAGCAGCGACTTCTTCTCCTCCAACACCACGATACGCCCGTCGGGGCCTTGGTGGGGCAACCAGGGTTGGCCGGGGCGGAGTTGGGTGCAGAGGACGTAGGTCTTGGCCTGCTCGTCTTTGCGCAGGGGCTGGACGCGGACCCGCAGCAGGGCCGAGGTGTTGCGGGCCTCGGCCGGGCCGGGCTGCACCAGCAGGTCCTGGGAGCGTTCGGGGCAGGTGCCGTTGGGAACCGAAGCGTTGGCGGCGGCGGCGGCGGGTCGTAGTTCGGCGAAGGCCACCCGTTCGCCGGTGCGAGGGCCCAGCCCCCGTAGAGGCGGAGCAGCACGCACCTCGCTACCCTCCGTGACGCGGATGGGCCCGCGGTTCGGGGTCCCCGCCGCCGGCTTCGTGCTCTCCTCCAGCCGCATGCCCAGGATCACGCTGTCCCCCGACGGTACCGCCCCACCGGGC